CAGGTGTGTAGTGAGTGGCTTTTGTTCACTGTGCAAGGGAAAGCCCTGGCATTCGAACAAATAGGACCATGATCTGATTTACGCCTGTTTAGCAGGTCCTTTCTGCAATATGAACTGAGAGGGTTAGTTAGGCAGGGGAGGCCAATTAGGAAGATACCTCAATATTCAGGCGAAGAAATTTGGTGCTGTATGAACTGACCAATGTATTAGAGTGAAAAAAACGCAAACAAACAATTACACAGGACATTGGGTGCATAGTAATGTGTGTTTTTAGGCATAACATATTCGAAGTTAAAAGAGGCAGTTTTTTTTTTCCTGAAAGGATCCAAGCATTCAAAGTGAAATAGTGGTGTATCTTTGGAAGAAAAGAGGCTAGTGAGGGTCGTATTTTATACCTTTGGGTGCAGTGTTATGTGCACAGAGTGTTCGTTTTTGCAAAGGTAAAATTTTTAAAATTAAAAAGCCCAGGGATCGAGGAAAAAACACAAGCTAGAATAGGCAAAGAATTTCAATACCAGAGGAGAGGAAACCCTAGGCTCGCCATGGGGTTAGGACGCTTCCCCAAGCATCCTCCCCTGAAGCTGCTGAAGGAGTCAGGCTAACCAGCGGGGGCAAAGGCCTGTGAGTTGACATGGACGAAGTGAGTGTACCTTCCTTCTTGGAGGGCCATTGGACCCGCTTCGGTCCTGCAGCTCTGGTGATGTTTGTTTGGCCAGTGCTCCTTGAGCACGATACAATTTCCCATGAATGTCTGCTGCATTTCCATGCCCTCTGTCATCGTGGTGCTTGCTTCACCGTGAGACCAGGGCGCCCTTCATTTAACTGCGCTGATTGGGCATAAACAGAGGAAATGTGTGTTGCTGGAGGAGAGAGTGGCATTGGCAGCATCCAATTTCCCCCGTCAGCTGAATAAGATTTGCTCTGTGCCTGACCAACAAGGGTCAAATGAGGTAGAAAGAAAATGCACTGTGTCTGGGTGCTTTTGTGTGTTTTTTTGTTT